ATTAGTACTTTCTTTTATACGTTTCTTGATTTTTTTGTTAAGTTTTCGTACATTAATTTATATTCCGTTGTTTTCTTTCTCGATTACAAAGTACCAACTTTTTTTCATTTTAACACATAATGTTTCAAAAAAAAAAATTCGGGGGCACCCCTTCAACTCCGGGACCCCCCTAGTTCATCGGGCTGGCTCCGCCCCTGTGTTATACAGTGTTTATGTCAAAGGGGGAGTCGTTTTTTACAACATTCAGTAAAATTATCAATTTGCCCCTCACATAAAATTCATTATGAGAGAAGTAATGGCAATTCCGTCTTTATTTTTCCCAATGCCGTTGGAATATACTGCACAGCTAGGACCATTGACCCTTATAACAGCCCAAAAATAAATTAAAATTTGGCCAAAATGCATCCTAGACAAGGGCTTAATAAATTAAACTTACGAGTCATAATAGCATAAATGAAAACTAGATTCCATTTTGATGTCATGCTCTGATTAATACACTTGGGAGGTCTATGATCGCTGTCTATATTGGCCTTTAGAACTCTGAAGGCTGTCGATGTATCAAAACTTGGTATTCCATTAGGTTATCTAGCTACTTCCCCATTAACAGTCAAATGTGTCCCTTGCTCGGGTAGAAAAGTGTCGTCTCCGCCTTCAATTTGTAACTTGTAAACGTCACTTGAAGCGCTTGCCCCTTGGTGCTTTTTGCACACATACTCCTAAATCTATGCAATTCATGTCAGTTTCAATTTACACATAAATTGAAAACAACCCACAAATTTTAATGTCTATTTTGTCCTCAATTTACTTGTATTCGAGCTTAGAAGTAATTTTTGGACTAGCTTCCTCCACAAGGACCGGCACTAGTAGTCCATTACTTGAAGTTGCATACTAATTTTGACAAGGAATATGCTGCTTGTGCATAATGTCGTGTCTATAACGGTGTCCACCCCCTCACATGGAGGGGGATCCACTTTGGATATATTATATTTTATTCGAAGTGGATCCTCCTTTATGTGAGAGGGTGGACACCGTTATGGACACCCTATTATATACATGTAGCATTACCCTTTTGACAATCCTATTAGAAAGTGGTCAATTAAGAGATTTACAATCTTTCTTTCTGAAATCCCTAAATGTCCTCTAAATTTTTAGTATTTTTCTATGCGATGCCTCAATTGAATGATCATTTTATAATTATTCGCAGATTGGTTTATGAATGATAAAACACTCCCTCTTGCCTATTTGAGAAATAGGGATGGGGAGCGGTGAATGTGATCCCCGTCTTGAATATTACTTTTATTTTTAAATTGTGTTTAAAAAATAAATAAATAAGTTAATGAGTTGATAAATTAGGATATTAATTCCTGTCCAACCATGCCCTAGAACTAATTGTACCTCCACAGGCCACCTCAGGAGAGTAGGCTCATTTCTTATTGGGATAACATAGGATGAGGCCCATTTATCCCAATAAGAAAAAGTCTTGCTCTTGCATCGAGAATTATAAGGGAAAAGTGTTCAGGGGTTTACTTTCAACAAAT